AATAATGCCAGCCACCCCATAGTGTGAGTGGGCCCTAAATCAGATAAACACATTTCAGGTGTATGGAAAGAAAAAGTGTTACTACAGATTGTCTAACAGATTGTTTTCTTTATAAAGCAGCCACAGCGTGAGTAGAAAAGCCTGTCTCCTGCCAGCATGCTGCAGAGAAGAACTCATGTTATCTGGAGGGAAGCAGCGGTCTCTCTGCAGAGGTCTGACACACCCTCTGAGTCAGTGGCAAAATCTCCAATCAGCTGAGAGCATAAGCTTTTCTGAATACGGGTCATAAGTTTGGAACAGGGGGCTCCAATCTTTCCATACAAAGGGCCACTTGACTGTCTTTAAGACTAAGAGGTTTTTAAAAATTTAGACATGCCCCATCATTGGTATAAGTGGGAGGAATAGTGCCCCATCGTTGGTATAAGTGGGAGGAATAGTGCCCCATCGTTGGTGTCAGTGGGAGGAATAGTGCCCCATCGTTGGTGTCAGTGGGAGGAATAGTGCCCCATCGTTGGTGTCAGTGGGAGGAATAGTGCCCCATCGTGGTGTCAGTGGAGGAATAGTGCCCCATCGTTGGTGTCAGTGGGAGGAATAGTGCCCCATCGTTGGTGTCAGTGGGAGGAATAGTGCCCCATCGTTGGTGTCAGTGGGAGGAATAGTGCCCCATCGTTGGTGTCAGTGGGAGGAATAGTGCCCCATCGTTGGTGTCAGTGGGAGGGAATAGTGCCCCATCGTTGGTGTCAGTGGGAGGAATAGTGCCCCATCGTTGGTGTCAGTGGGAGGAATAGTGCCCCATCGTTGGTGTCAGTGGGAGGAATAGTGCCCCATCGTTGGTGTCAGTGGGAGGAATAGTGCCCCATCGTTGGTGTCAGTGGGAGGAATAGTGCCCCATCGTTGTGGGAGGAATAGTGCCCCATCGTTGGTGTCAGTGGGAGGAATACTGCCCCATCGTCATTGGTAGTGCCCCAGTCGTTGGTGTCAGGGGATGAATAGTGGCCCATCATTGGTGTCAGTGGGAGGAATAGTGCCCCATCAAATTGGTAGTGTCAGTGGGAGGAATAGTGCCCCATCGTTGGTGTCAGTGGGAGGAATAGTGCCCATCATTGGTGACATGGGAGAATAGTGCCCCATCATTTGGTTGGGAGGAATAGTCCCATCGTGGTATCAGTGGGAGGAATAGTGCCCCATCATTGGTGTCAGTGGGAGGAATAGTGCCCCATCGTTGAGTGTCATTGGGAGGAATAGTGCCCATCACCCCATCATTGGTTGTCAGTGGAGGAATAGTGCCCTACCATCGTTGCATCATGTTGAGGAATAGTGCCCCATCATTGGTATCAGTGGTAGGAATAGTGCCCCATCATTGGTGTCAGTATCAGGGAGGAATAGTGCCCCATCATTGGTATCAGTGGGAGGATAATAGTGCCCCCATCATTGGTGGGAGGAATCAGTGGTGTCAGGGGAGGAATAGTGCCCCATCAATTGTGTAGTGCAGTGGTACAGTGGGAGGAATAGTGCCCCATCATTGGTGTCCTCCATCAATGGTATCCAGTGGGAGGAATAGTGCCCCATCATTGGTGTCAGTAGGTGGAGAGAATAGTGCCCCATCATTGGTGTCAGTGGGAGGAATAGTGCCCCATCAGTGGTGTCCAGGTGGGAGGAATAGTGCCCCATCATTGTATCAGTGGGAGGAAGTGCCCCATCATTGGTATCAGTGGAGGAATAGTGCCCCATCATCATTGGTGTCAGTGGAGGAATAGTGCCCATCATTGGTAATCAGTGGGAGGAATAGGTGCCCCATCATTGGTATCAGTGGGAGGAATAGTGTCCCATCATTGGTGTCATGGGTGGAAATAGTGCCCCATCATTGGTGTCAGTGGGAGGAATAGTGCCCCATCATTGGTATCAGTGGGAGGAATAGTGCCCCAGTCATTGGTGTCATAGGAGGAATAGTGGCCCCATCATTGGTGTCATGTGGGAGGAATAGTGTCCCATCATTGGTATCAGTGGGAGGAATAGTGCCCCATCATTGGAGTCAGTGGGAGGAATAGTGCCCCATCATTGGTATCATGGGAGGAATAGTGCCCCATCATTGGTGTCAGTGGGAGGAATAGAGCCCCATCATCCATTGGGTATCCCAGTCGTGAGTAATAATGTCCCATCATTGTATCAGTGGGAGAATAGTGCCCCCATCATTGGTGTCAGTGGGAAAAATAGTGCCCCATCATTGGTGTCAGTGAGAGGAATAGTGACCCATCATTGGTATCAGTGGGAGGAATAGTGACCCATCATTGGTATCAGTGGGAGGAAATAGAGCCCCACATCATTGGTGTCCATGAGAGGAAATAGTGCCCCATCATTGGTATCAGTGGGAGAATAGTGACCCATCATTGGTGTTCAGTGGGAGGAATAGTGACCCATCATTGGTATCAGTGGGTAGGAATAGTGTCCCATCATTGGTATCAGTGGGAGGAATATGTGCCCATCATTGGTGTCAGTGGGAGGAATAGTGCCCCATCATTGGTATCATGTGGAGGAATAGTGCCCCATCCTTTGGTGTCAGTGGGAGGAATAGTGCCCCATCATTGTATCAGTGGGAGGAAAATAGTGCCCCATCATTGGTATCAGTGGGGAGGAAATAGTGCCCCATCATTGGTGTCAGTGGGAGAATAGTGCCCCATCATTGGTGTCAGTGAGAGGAATAGAGCCCCATCATTGGTATCAGTGGGAGGAATAGTGACCCCATCATTGGTGTCAGTGAGAGGAATAGTGCCCCATCATTGGTGTCAGTGGAGGAATAGTGACCCATCATTGGTGTCAGTGGGAGGAATAGTGCCCCATCATTGGTGTCAGTGGGAAATAGTGCCCCATCATTGGTGTCAGTGGGGAAGAATAGAGCCCCAAAACATTGGTGTCCAGTGAGAGGAATAGAGCCCCATCATGGGTATCAGTGAGAGGAATAGTGCCCCATCATTGGTATCAGTGGGAGGAATATGTGCCCCATCATTGGTGTCAGTGAGAGGAATAGGGCCCCATCATTGGTATCAGTGGGAGGAATAGTGCCCCATCATTGGTGTATCATTAGGAGGAATAGTGCCCCATCATTGGTGTCATCCAGTGGAGGAATAGTGCCCCATCATTGGTGTCAGTGGGAAGAATAGTGTCCCCATCATTGGTATCAGTGGGAGGAATAGTGCCCCATCATTAGTGTCAGTGGAGGAATAGTGCCCCCATCATTGGTGTCAGTGGGAGGAATAGTGCCCCATCATTGGTGTCAGTGGGAGGAATAGTGCCCCATCATTGGTATCAGATGGGAGGAATAGTGCCCCATCATTGGGTGTCAGTGGGAGGAATAGTGCCCCATCATTGGTATCAGTGGGAGGAATAGTGCCCCATCATTGGTATCAGTGGGAAATAGTGACCCATCATTGGTATCAGTGGGAGGAATAGTGCCCCATCATTGGTGTCAGTGGGAAGAATAGAGCCCCATCATTGGTGTCAGTGAGAGGAATAGAGCCCCATCATTGGTATCAGTGGGAGGAATAGTGACCCATCATTGGTGTCAGTGAGAGGAATAGTGCCCCATCATTGGTATCAGTGGGAGAATAGTGACCCATCATTGGTGTCATGGGAGGAATAGCGCCCCATCATTGGTGTCAGTGGGAGGAATAGCGCCCCATCATTGGTGTCAGTGGGAAGAATAGAGCCCCATCATTGGTGTCAGTGAGAGGAATAGAGCCCCATCATTGGTATCAGTGAAGTGGGAGGAATAGTGCCCCATCATTGGTATCAGTGGGAGGAATAGTGCCCCATCATTGGTGTCAGTGAGAGGAATAGGGCCCCATCATTGGTATCAGTGGGAGGAATAGTGCCCCATCATTGGTATCAGTAGGAGGAATAGTGCCCCATCATTGGTGTCAGTGGGGAGGAATAGTGCCCCATCATTGGTGTCAGTGGGAAGAATAGAGCCCCATCATTGGTGTCAGTGAGAGGAATAGAGCCCCATCATTGGTATCAGTGAGAGGAATAGTGCCCCATCATTGGTATCAGTGGAGGAATAGTGCCCCATCATTGGTGTCAGTGAGAGGAATAGGGCCCCATCATTGGTATCAGTGGGAGGAATAGGGCCCCATCATTGGTATCAGTAGGAGGAATAGTGCCTCATCATTGGTGTCAGTGGGAGGAATAGTGCCCCATCATTGGTATCAGTAGGAGGAATAGTGCCCCATCATTGGTATCAGTAGGAGGAATAGTGCCCATCATTGGTATCAGTGGGAGGAATAGTGCCCCATCATTGGTATCAGTGGGAGGAATAGGGCCCCATCATTGGTATCAGTAGGAGGAATAGTGCCTCATCATTGGTGTCAGTGGGAGGAATAGTGCCCCATCATTGGTATCAGTAGGAGGAATAGTGCCCCATCATTGGTATCAGTAGGAGGAATAGTGCCCCATCATTGGTATCAGTAGGAGGAATAGTGCCCCATAATTGGTGTCAGTGAGAGGAATAGGGCCCCATCATTGGTATCAGTGAGAGGAATAGTGCCCCATCATTGGTGTCAGTGGGAGGAATAGTGCCCCATCATTGGTGTCAGTGGGAGGAATAGTGCCCCATCATTGGTATCAGTGAGAGGAATAGTGTCTCATCATTGGTGTCAGTGGGAGGAATAGTGCCCCATCATTGGTGTCAGTGGGGAGGATAGTGCCCCATCATTGGTATCAGTGAGAGGAATAGTGTCTCATCATTGGTGTCAGTGGGAGGAATAGTGTCCCATCATTGGTGTCAGTGGGAGGAATAGTGCCCCATCATTGGTGTCAGTGAGAGGAATAGTGTCTCATCACAGGCAAACAAAGGGCTGCATCTGGCCCGCGGGCCACAGTTTGGAGACCACTGCTTTAGAGAAAAACAGCCTCAAAATTGAAATCAGCATATCTGTGTTAGACACCCCCCCCCGTCCACACACCCCTTAAGTATATTAGTCTTAGTTTAATGGAACACAACTCACCTTTGCTGCTTTTGGCAGCCAGCTGTCTACTCAGACAGGCCCCGGGGAGCTGTTGCTGTCGGACCAGGAGTGCCGCTTTCCAGGAGCACGCCGCCACGGATCTCAGCTGCTGTAGCGCCAGCCCAAACTTTCCCAAACCCATCAGTGCCATGGCAGGATCTCGGCTGTAATGATTCGGCAAAACACAGAGGATGAGATTTCTGTAGAGAAGAAAGGAACGCTGCGATGATTATTCATGGTGACAACCCCGCTGGGGATGCTAAGCTATGGTGGTAAAAAGAGACAAAGTCACCACACCCAATCCATGAACTTGGAATGGAGGTGTCGCTCTGTAATATTCGGGTCCAAATACTAATTTATTTCAGTGATAGATTGTCTGCAACGCGTTTCGGGGAATATAACTCCCTTCATCAGGGCGTACAATGTATGAGGGCTCAGCCATGACAACGTCGCTGGATGTTAGAATCAGTGATGCACTGATGCCGATACCGAGTATTTTCATGAGTACTTGTAAAAACACTACTAATACCTTAACCGATACTTTACACCGTGCGATTGGCGCTAATGGATGCAAATCGCACCGCAAAAGATTAGCATGCGATTCAAACAGGAAAGCGATTTCTTTCTTTCCTCCCCTTGCAGAGATGGCAGTTCAGGCTAGACGGCATCTGATTGGTCAGCAGCTGGTAGTATTTTCACAAGTAATTAATAAATACTCCGTATTGAATCGCATTCCTGTTCAAATCGCACCGCGGCGTGATTTGAACAGGAAGGCGATTTCTTTCTTTCCTCCCCTTGCAGAGATGACAGTTCGGGCTAGACGGCATCTGATTGGTCAGCAGCTGGTAGTATTTTCACAAGTAATCAATAAATACTCCGTATTGAATCGCATTCCTGTTCAAATCGCACCGCGGCGTGATTTGCGTCCATTAACGCAAATCGCACAGCAAAGACTAGCATGCGATTTGAACAGGAAGGCGATTTCTTTCTTTCCTCCCCTTGCAGAGATGACAGTTCAGGCTAGACGGTATCTGATTGGTCAGCAGCTGGTAGTATTTTCACGAGTAATCATGAAAATACTCCATATTGAATAATATAAATACTGTATAATTCCTGTTCAAATCGCACCGCGGCGTGATTTGCGTCCATTAGCACAAATCGCACCGCAAATGTTAGCATGCGATTTGAACAGGAAGGAGATTTCTTTCTTTCCTTCCCTTGCAGAGATGACAGTTCAGGCTAGACGGCATCTGATTGGTCAGCAGCTGGTAGTATTTTCACAAGTAATCAATAAATACTCCGTATTGAATCGCATTCCTGTTCAAATTGCACCGCGGCGTGATTTGCGTCCATTAATGCAAATCGCACCGCAAAGATTAGCATGCGATTTGAACAGGAAGGGGATTTCTTTCTTTCCTCCCCTTGCAGAGATGACAGTTCGGGCTAGACGGCGTCTGATTGGTCAGCAGCTGGTAGTATTTTCACAAGTAATCAATAAATACTCCGTATTGAATCGCATTCCTGTTCAAATCGCATGTGATGCAATTTGCGTTCGCAAAGTATCACTACTCGGTATCGGCGAGTACTTGACTGAAAGTATCGGTACTCATACTCGCTGATAAAAACCCCGGTTATCGGTAGATTCCTAGTTTGAATGTTACAGGTTATCCCAGGTTCTGTCAGCAGTTGGCATCGATGGTTGAAGCTGGAGGATGATCATGACGGGCAGGCAGCTAGCTAGCTGGGGGGGGAGGCAGCAATGGCGCCCTGGGTATTGATGACAAAATTTGCATGACAACTACGCAGGGGCAGTAAGGGTCCCTAAGAGGGTGACAAGTGCGGAAAAGTGCCTGGTCCCAACAAGGCTTCCTAACAGAGGACGCCATGATTTTGCAAAGAGCAAGGAGCGTTCAGAAAGTTGTGTTTGCAAATGCGGCCAATGAGGCGATCCATGCGCACGGCGCAGGTAAACCTTGGGCTTTAAATCTGCAGCTTTTACCAAAATATACCCTGGCGATCCTGCCAAGAAGGGCCTGGTTCAGGCGCTTCCTGTCACAGGTGACAACCGTATCCCAAATGTGCTCCTGCGTTGTCACATGGGTCCCCCTGGACACTACAAGCAGGCGGGCTGACACATATTGTACAAGCATGGTCCACCGTTGTCACTATGGGGAATGATGGACTATGGGGGACATGGCAGACAGGAAGTGGCTGGAGGAGATCAGCAGCACCGAATATATATATATATATATACACACACATACTATATATATGACACAAATATATATACATACACATCCCCCCCCCATTGGAAATATAAAATCAGTCACCCCATACCCAGCCCCCCAGTCCCTGTCCCCTCATTCAGAGTCCCCTCCATGCAGTCACCTCTTCCCCAGGACACTTCCAGGCTCTGGTAATGTCATCAGCCCTCGCCGTGAGGAAGGAGGTCGCGCTGCGATGACGTCAGCGGCTCGGCTGGGAGGATGATCGGCTGAACAGAGGGCCTCCCCGGTAAGCAGAGCCCGGGGTGGTGGGAAGGTGTATGGTGGGGGGGGGGGGAGGGAGCGGTTTATGAGGGATATTTGGGGTCTGTATGCATTGTAAAGGGAAAAGTCCGGGGTCTTGACCTCCTGAGGGAGTTGTTGAAGGACTACAAGCCCCAGCAGGCCTAAGTAGGGACTGGTGATTGTGTGGCCCTCTCTCCCGGGGGCCCCTGTGTTGTCCCTGTCTGGAGCTCAGTGTTTCCTGGTCTATGTTATTGTGCTTCTTCTGATGGTAAATATGGGTGTAGTAGTTCTTAAAGGGGCAGAAACATTAATCGGCAATCTGTGCTGCGGTCCCCGGAGCTCCCCCGTATTGTCTGCGGTCCCCGGAGCTCCCCCTTTTTGTCTGCGGTCCCCGGGAGCTCCCCCGCATTGTCTGCGGTCCCCGGGAGCTCCCCCGCATTGTCTGCTGTCCCCGGGAGCTCCCCCGTATTGTCTGCTGTCCCCGGGAGCTCCCCCGTACTGTCTGCTGTCCCCGGGAGCTCCCCCGTACTGTCTGCGGTACCCGGGAGCTCCCCCTTTTTGTCTGCGGTCCCCGGGAGCTCCCCCGTATTGTCTGCGGTCCCCGGAGCTCCCCCGCATTGTCTGCTGTCCCCGGGAGCTCCCCCGTATTGTCTGCTGTCCCCGGGAGCTACCCCGCATTGTCTGCGGTCCCCGGGAGCTCCCCCGTATTGTCTGCGGTCCCCGGGAGCTCCCCCGCTTTGTCTGCGGTCCCCGGGAGCTCCCCCGCATTGTCTGCGGTCCCTGGGAGCTCCCCCGTATTGTCTGCGGTCCCCGGGAGCTCCCCCGTATTGTCTGCGGTCCCCGGGAGCTCCCCCGTATTGTCTGCGGTCCCCGGAGCTCCCCCGTATTGTCTGCGGTCCCCGGGAGCTCCCCCGCATTGTCTGCGGTCCCCGGGAGCTCCCCCGTATTGTCTGCTGTCCCCGGGAGCTCCCCCGTACTGTCTGCTGTCCCCCGTATTGTCTGCGGTCCCCGGGAGCTCCCCCGTACTGTCTGCGGTACCCGGGAGCTCCCCCTTTTTGTCTGCGGTCCCCGGGAGCCCCGTCATCCCCCGTATTGTCTGCGGTCCCCGGGAGCTCCCCCGCATTGTCTGCTGTCCCCGGGAGCTCCCCCGTATTGTCTGCTGTCCCCGGGAGCTCCCCGCATTGTCTGCGGTCCCCGGGAGCTCCCCCGTATTGTCTGCGGTCCCCGGGAGCTCCCCCGTTTTTGTCTGCGGTCCCCGGGAGCTCCCCCGCATTGTCTGCGGTCCCCGGAGCTCCCCCGTATTGTCTGCGGTCCCCGGAGCTCCCCCGTATTGTCTGCGGTCCCCGGGAGCTCCCCCGTATTGTCTGCGGTCCCCGGGAGCTTCCCCCGCATTGTCTGCGGTCCCCGGGAGCTCCCCCGTATTGTCTGCGGTCCCCGGGAGCTCCCCCGTATTGTCTGCGGTCCCCGAGAGCTCCCCCGTATTGTCCCCGGGAGCTGCGGTCCCCGGGAGCTCCCCCGTATTGTCTGCGGTCCCCGGAGCTCCCCCGTTTTGTCTGCGGTCCCCGGGAGCTCCCCCGTATTGTCTGCGGTCCCCGGGAGCTCCCCCGTATTGTCTGCGGGTCTCCCCCGGTGAGCTCCCCCCCCGTATTGTCTGCGGTCCCCGGGAGCTCCCCCGTATTGTCTGCGGTCCCCGGGAGCTCCCCCGTATTGTCTGCGGTCCCCGGGATTGCTCCCCCGTATTGTCTGCGGTCCCCGGGAGCTGCGGTCCCCGGGAGCTCCCCCGTATTGTCTGCGGTCCCCGGTCCCCCGTATTGTCTGCCCGGGAGCTCCCCGTATTGTCTGCGGTCCCCGCGGAGCTCCCCCGTATTGTCTGCGGTCCCCCGGTCCCCCGTATTGTCTGCGGTCTCTCCCCCGTATTGTCTGCGGTCCCCGGGCTCCCCCCGTATTGTCTGCGGTCCCCCGTGTCGGCTCCCCCGTATTGTCTGCGGTCCCCGCGGCTCCCCCGTATTGTCTGCGGTCCCCGCGGCTCCCCCGTATTGTCTGCGGTCCCCCGGAGGCTCCCCCGTATTGTCTGCGGTCCCTGGAGCTCCCCCGTATTGTCTGCGGTCCCCGGAGCTCCCCCGTATTGTCTGCGGTCCCCGCGGCTCCCCCGTATTGTCTGCGGTCCCGGGAGCTCCCCCGTATTGTCTGCGGTCCCCGGGCTCCCCCGTATTGTCTGCGGTCCCCGGGAGCTCCCCCGTATTGTCTGCGGTCCCCGGAGCTCCCCCGTATTGTCTGCGGTCCCTGCGGCTCGCCCGTATTGTCTGCGGTCCCTGCGGAGCTCGCTCCGTATTGTCTGCGGTCCCTGCGGCTCGCCCGTATTGTCTGCGGTCCCCGGGGAGCTCGCCCCCCCGTGTCTTGTCTGCGGTCCCCGGAGCTCCCCCGTATTGTCTGCGGTCCCCGCGAGGCTCCCCCGTATTGTCTGCGGTCCCCGGAGCTCCCCCGTATTGTCTGCGGTCCCCGCGGCTCCCCCGTATTGTCTGCGGTCCCCGGAGCTCCCCCGTATTGTCTGCGGTCCCCGGAGCTCCCCCGTATTGTCTGCGGTTTCCCCCGAGCTCCCCCCCGTATTGTCTGCGGTCCCCGCGGCTCCCCCGTATTGTCT